TGCCCTTGATCAAGCCCTACCAAGCCTCTTACACCCTCCTTGCCACTGGTTTTGGATCACTAGTTGTTCTCTTGTCCCTGAGTTGGTTAACATCACTTCCTTTCCCCCACCTCCCCTTCTCCCATGCCCTCCTGAACCTTCGGTTCCGTTGTTTTCTCCTCCAGGTTGTTTATCAATGTGTGTGTATGTTTCCAAGGGTGGCCAGGGGTGGTTTTTTTTGACATGATGCGGAAGTGTTATGTGTCAAAGACCAAAAGGGAGACTAAATACAGTTCCTTGGACCAGAGCTAAACAGTGCTTTTTTTTTTTAAACAGTGCTTTTATTGATGATGAAAATGTTTAAATCTGTACCCTCTAATTTTTTTTATACTATAGTAGCTGTTCAATACTTGAAATATGGCTAGCATAACTGAGTAGCTGGATTTTAAATTTTGTTTAAAATCAATTGCTGTTTGTGACTATAGGCTACCATTTGGGACAACACAGGTGTAGAGGAATGATGTAATGAAGAGAAATGGGAAAGGCTCCTGCAAGAAAACTGAGTGATAAAAATTTAACATTTGAAAAGCAAGGGGACTTGGACTAAATGATGGGGGAAATTCCTTTCAAATCTATAAATAAACGGTTTAATAAGAAGTTTACAGGTCAAAAAGATTGATACATGGAAAGAACTGCTTATGCTTTAAATTCATACAAAGCTAATAAGCGCTGAGAATTATATTTGTGATTTAGGTTAACTGAATGTGATAATTCACTTGTGCAGTTCTGAAAAAATTCAGGTGTGGCTCACAATCATCTTGAGTGCTTTAGACCAGAGAAGAGCAGGTGAGGAAAAAGGTATACTAAAGGGTTTCCACAGCTTTATGATATATTGAAATGGTGGTAGTGAGCAATAACTTAGTCAGGTACCCCAGAAGATGAGGACACTAGTTTTATGGGTTTTTCAGGTCTTGGAAAGGAGTTTAAATTTTGTTTTAAAGTTAATTAGAAGTTATCAATGGATTTTAGTCAGTGTTAAATAACAAGATTTGACATGTTTTTAAAAGATCATACTGTCTGTGGTGACAAGTGAAATTTGATTCCATACACTTTTGTTTCTGCCTTTGTGAAGTGTCTTCACTCAAGAGGTATTAAATCTTAGTAGTTTTATAACACTTATAAATAGGCAAAGTTCACATTTTTCTGGAATCACGAGTGGAAATGAACGTGTTGATAGGTTTCTTTGAGAGATCCCTTTGTTAGTTCTGTCCCCATCATCATGGTTGGGTGGTGGTGGTGGTCAGGTGTTGCCTACTGTTTCCTGAAACCCACCAAGGGTGGGGGGACCCTGGTATTCCTCTATCTGTGTAGGTTCTTCCTCTTTCCTCCTTCCCAGCTTCTTGCTGCCAGCCACAGAAGGCACCCTCAGCCTAACTTCATCACAAATGCCAGGAAAAGAGATCGTTGATTGTCGATGTGACTTTACTCTGGTAATAATTAGAAATACATGTGACTTTAAGTAAAGAATTCCTGGGCTCCTTCCGTTTATATTTTCATGTTAATCAGTTCTCTTCAAGATTAAAGAATGCTAGCTTATTGTATTAATAAAAAAATACTTGCTTTTTCCCCCCTTAAACACAGCTTGGTGTTTCACTTAGCAGTTTGGGAGCTATACCAGCAGCAGCGCTGGATCCCAACATTGCAACACTTGGAGAGATACCGCAGCCACCACTCATGGGAAATGTGGATCCTTCCAAAATTGATGAAATTAGGAGAACAGTCTATGTTGGAAATTTGAATTCCCAGGTAACTAATTTAAAAAGAAGCTGAATGGTGGTAGTCACACCCACACCCCCGCCCCCTTTAGAAAGCTGACAGTTATGAGATGTCTTTTACCTGATTTTCTAAAGCAATCAGTAAAGTACTATTTACCTGATTTTTTTCCCCCAAAAGAATGTAACTCATTAAAGGGTCATTTTATTTCCTCAGACAACAACAGCTGATCAACTACTTGAGTTTTTTAAACAAGTTGGAGAAGTGAAGTTTGTACGGATGGCAGGTGATGAGACTCAGCCAACTCGGTTTGCTTTTGTGGAATTTGCAGACCAAAATTCTGTACCAAGGGCCCTTGCTTTTAATGGAGTTATGTTTGGAGACAGGCCACTGAAGTAAGAAACCATAAACAAAAACTTTTGAAAATATTTTAAGTAATTTTGATTTATTTGAAGCTTTAAAAAAACGAATAGTAATTGGCAATCTGTGGAAAGGAAGACTGTGTTAATTATACATTCAGTGCATGAGATGCATGTTGTGTTTTACCCTTAAACATCTTAAAGTTGTAATGGAAGACAACTTATTTTTTCTTTTATAAGGTCTAATTTGATATTAATATTTTTATACCCTACATAACAGTTGGATGTATCTTTTCATAAGTTATAACAAATGAGGTTAGCTTTGTATTGTGACTCTTAGCTAATTAGACCATTTTATATGTGGGTTGAATAGAATCATTAGAACTCTGGTAAAGTCAAAACCCCAGGACGAAAATTATAACCAAATACACATGTTGAAAATCACACGAGTTTTCAAGTTCATTCACATTCTTATTTTCCAAATGAAAAATATATGTAGCCTTCCAGGTATCAACACTAGAAATTGCATTTCACTTAGATTATTGAGACAAATGTAGTTTTGTCTGAATTTCAAATGTAGATAATTTCCTTAGACGATGTGATCAGGATTCTGGTATTAAAGGATAAATACTGTTCATAGTGGATGCTTCCCAGGGGGAGAGGGGAGACGGTTATCTCGGAACTTATGTGCATCAGAGAAGCTGCTCTTGCATAGTGTGGATGAGGAAAGTTTTCTCAGCTTCCTTTTTCATTTGAATTTGTGTCTGGCTCTGCCGTGATCCAGGGTTGAGTAAAATGGTGTACATAATCCGAAGCTTCCTCTTCATCTAAGTGCAGGTACTATCAACAAAATTTTATAATCTAGGACTGGCAATGACTCATTTTAATGTTGGTGTCAAGATTTTAAATTTATTATTGTTTTCATGTCATCAAGTCAATTCTGTCTCATAGTGATTCTGTAGATTGCCTTTTTTGGCTTCTGAGGCTGCAGGTTTTTAGGGAGCAGAAAGCCTTCTTTCTCCAGTGACATAACTAGTAGTTTTGAACTGTTGACCTTGCCCTTAACTGCCCTGCTTGTAACCCATTACATTACCATATGTGGGAAAGTATTTGCTTGTTAAGGAAGTCACTTTTCCTTTTATCTCTTTGCTTTTGGCTTTATTAGTTAGAGATTATGGGAAGTGGGAGATGGGTGCTTAATTATGGTTTGAGAGTTGTTCGGGGCTAGTCTTCAAAAATAGTTTCAGATTTACACATATATATTATGTAAATACTTAATTGTTTCTTTTTTGTAAAATGTGTGTATTTGTGATATGCTAATATTTTTAATTTAGAATAAATCACTCCAACAATGCAATAGTAAAACCCCCTGAGATGACACCTCAGGCTGCAGCTAAGGAGTTAGAAGAAGTTATGAAGCGTGTGCGAGAGGCCCAATCATTTATCTCAGCAGCTATTGAACCAGGTAAGACCATGGTGTTGTTACATAGGACATAGGTTTAAGATCATAGAAACTTAGAACTGAAAGGAATTTTAGAAATTATCTTGTTGGGCCCATCATTTTACAAAGAAGACTGAAACTCAAGACAGAGTAAGTGACTTATTCATGTCAAAGAAGTACTTAGCCCTAACATTCTCTGCCCATGGTACTGGATTGAGGTTTTTTAGCCTGAAGTGATCAGCCCTTTATATTTCAATAGCAAAATTAGTGCTCAAAATTAGTTGTTTGAAGAAAAATATATTTCTTGTTCTGAAGTTAAAAAGTAAGTACATTTGAAATACAAAGCCGACATTTTAAAAATAGAAAACAGAGCCCATGATTTATTGGGGGGAAAAATACAGATATCCTGTGGTCCCAAGATAAGGGAACACCAATTCTAATCAAAATAATTTAAAATTTCAATGTAAAAGTGTCTAAGTGGTTTACATTTGAGCAAATTTTTACATTAGTCACCTCTAGCAAAATGAACGGGAAAGGGACTAAAGATCAGTGTCGTAGGAATTACAAACATGTTATATAATCGTACATTATGGCAGCAACAAAAATATTACGAACAGCTGTTTATAATCATGTGGTTTATATGTACTGCTGCAGGATGGCTGCACTCAACGAGTTTATGCAATGACTTTCTTGGATGTTTCTGAAGGATAATTGCACAGGAGGAGGATGTACAGAGAGTAGGCCCTTTGCACTATATGTGGTACATTCCACTTGTGCCTGATTATTAACTGGGGTCTTTAATTGTTCTGAGCTTACACTGCAAAGTGGTTTTTTCCTCCCAGAGTCTGGAAAGAGCAGTGAAAGAAAAGGCGGTCGATCTCGTTCGCACACTCGTTCAAAATCCCGGTCTAGTTCAAAATCCCATTCTAGGAGGAAGAGATCACAGTCTAAGCACAGGTGAGACTTTCTAGTAACATTTAAGTTTTCCATTTTGTATTTTAAATAGTTGAAATTTTGAGTTATTGTGAAAAACGAAAATAAAAATTTTAGCAGCGTCCACTTGGAAATGTGTTCATTAAATACTCTTTAGTTTTTTGTTGTTTTTTAATATTGGCATAGTACTGTGGTTAATAATGACATTTTGTATAGGTGGATACTTAAATTTTTTAGTATTCTAAGTAATTTTCAGTTGTGGAAGTTCTATTTAAGGGTAGGGTATTGTGTCCCTGATTTTTTTTTTTTTAAGGATAAAATAATCTTTATATAGAATTAGCAGAAACAGTTTTTGCTATTATTGGGGAAATGGGACATATTTAGTAGCAGTACTGAAGTTACAAGGTTTTGGTCCTATCTCCACCCCCCACCCCATCCCCCACCCCCCACCTAATTAGAGTTCAGTAAAGGGCTGAGAGTCCACCCCAGCTAT